CTGCTTGGAATTTCCCTTTGTCAGCAATGGACAGACCTTGATTGCCCTGCTGATTGCACCACACTGTATTATACAGGTGCTCCCGTATCCAAACATAAGTACAAAACTCACCTTAATAGCATGTTCTCTTAGCATCACGGATGACCTAACTGTGGCACTGCTGTGTGATTACAGCCGTAGGAGACAAGACACCAGAGGACATCAAGAAACAGGACCTGGAATGTGTGGTTCCAAAACATGAAAAGGACCCACCTGAACTGAAAGAAGAAAATGTCCCTGTCCAGTACCTGAGCAGGATGCTGCCAGGCCCTTCAGCTCAAGGTCTGCTACCCAAAACACCAATTGCAAAAAGCTCAGGGCTGGGCTGGATTATGCACCCCCTAAAACCGGGCCCAGATTTTCAGCGAACATCAGTTCTTATTTTGACATCAATGGTCAAACTTGTCCCAGAAAAGCTCATCAGGAGCATTCTGTATTTCCCTTTGCAGTTCTGGTCTAACCCAGCACCTCCTTGAAGGATGATGCTATGATTCCCAATGAATGATCCTCTCCATCTCAATGCTACATGGGTCAAGGCAGGTGTCCACAGGAAGCAGGGCTAGCAGAGGGCTTAATATTCCCTTAGCCATAAAATTTCTATGGCATTCTTTGCCATAAAATTTCCTCAGATTGAAATCAAAGTCACAGTAGGAACTTTGTGTGGGGAATCAGGATCTGAATCAAGGAGGAGTTGCCAACTGCAACTCCCAAGGTCAGACAAGATATTAAATAGGGAAATGGGAGCTGGGGGACTTTTTTACTGGTGCCCAATTTCAGACAATGGTGTGACACTCCTCTCTCTCCTTTGCAAACTCAGAGATGGCCATCCCAGGTCTGCAGATCAAAGACTGCACTAACACGACGAGCGCCCCTACCTTCTACAAACCCAGCTTTTCTTGGGATGCTTTCCATGTGCCATACAGCTACCAACAGATGTCTTCCACCATGCAGTCAGCCCTCCTGGAGCACCCTGTTAGCCTGTATGGGAGCCACCTGCTGCCAAGCACTGAGCCTCCCCTCGATTACAGCATGCATTATTCCTCAGACATGGAGACCTACCACTGTGTGAAATGCAACAAGGTGTGTGTCAGATGGGAACCTTGGGGATGGGGAGTGATTTTCATTGTGTGTTTCACTGGGTCACACCAAAGTGCAGCACATATGGCTCCAAGTGTGTCTCCTAATCAGCAGAACGACTGCAAAGGCACTGGAAATGATGCAGTTCACATGGCCCATGAGAGGGAAGAATTAAATACAGAGAAGGAGTTAAATAGAGAGATGGAGACAGAGCTTCTCATGTAAAAAGATCACTGTTATTTCATTTTCAGGTCTTCTCCACTCCCCATGGACTGGAGGTCCATGTCCGAAGGTCTCACAGTGGGACTCGTCCCTTTGCTTGTGAGGTTTGTGGCAAAACCTTTGGGCACGCTGTGAGCCTGGAGCAGCACACCAATATCCACTCCCAGGTGGGTAGCACATTTCCAGAGAACCAGCTCTCCAGAGATCACCAGTGCTTGGACCTTAGCTGTTGCTTAATCCCTGGCAGAGGAAGTGACATTGCCTAGGTTACAAACATGATGCCTTTCCTGTAGTACCCAGTGACAACAGGAACTCTGGAGACCACAGATCTTGGTCTGACAAATCTCAGACTGCCCTTGAGAATTCCTTGGATGGGAGGATTGCTGCTACTCATTCTCCTTTGCCTCACCTCCTCCTAAAGGGTGCAGGAGTTAGGATCACAAGATGTAATCCATTTCCATAAGTAACCCTCCCCACATTCCCTTTGTACTGCACCCAGCCTATCAATCCATGAGCCAAGGAGATTTGCTTATCAAATCTACTACTCTCATCACTCTTCAAGCTCTGTCACATGGCTTACAGCCTTAGACATCCCATGATTTTCTTTCCCCAACAGGAAAGAAGCTTTGAGTGCAAGATGTGTGGGAAGACATTCAAACGTTCCTCCACCCTCTCCACTCACCTGCTGATCCACTCAGACACTCGGCCCTATCCCTGCCAGTACTGCGGGAAGCGCTTCCACCAGAAGTCAGATATGAAGAAACACACTTACATCCACACTGGTGAGAAACAAAGTATTCCCCATAAGAAAAGCCAAATTACAGACCATCAGGTCAATGCACATACACAGTCCCCAGACACAGAGGTATTGGGTAGGGGATAAGTGTCCAGAGGCACTGAAAAGTCAGTCTTCACAGTGTGGTAAGACAGCAGGAGGCTGAGATGCATATTCTCCTCTGTGTGACAAGGAGGTGGTTATTGACCACGTTCTGGTGCATGTCATGGTTGTACCCAGCTCTGGATGCAGGCAGGGAATGGGTCACACAGCTGGAGAGCACTGCCTCTCATTCTTCCCACCCCCTGAAGCTGGATGTGTAACCAGACACATTCCCAGGACAGCTGGGCTGGCAGCACCCAGACACCCAAGCACAGCTAGCCAAATCTGAGTCTACTAAACAGCATTTCTCCCTCCCTTGTCTCACCTGTTAAAGTGTTTGTTACCATTTTCTCTGCCCTGCAGGAGAGAAGCCCCACAAATGCCAGGTGTGTGGCAAAGCCTTCAGCCAGAGCTCCAACCTCATCACCCACAGCCGCAAGCACACTGGCTTCAAACCCTTCAGCTGTGAGCTCTGTGCCAAGGGCTTCCAGCGCAAGGTGGATCTGCGGAGGCACAGGGAGACCCAGCACAGTCTCAAGTGATGGATGGCTCCAGAGAAGAAGACTGTCCCCAGCATCTCCATCCATCACAGGGCTGCTCAATCTCATAAAGCTTCCTGTGTCCTCCTGGGGACTGGCAAAGTCATTGGCTTTGGTGTTTGGCACCCCAGGGCCTTGCACATGCCAAAAAAACCTGTGAGAGCTCTCACTTTCCAATTACAACAGGTACCAGCCTAGATCTGACATCACCTGCTCAAGTGCAAATCCAGAGGAATTCCTCCAAGGTCACTATTGCTCTGGATTTACACCATGTGCAGAATCCGGTTCGTCAGGCTGCCCTGCAGTGAGGTGGGAACTCCTGAGCTGGTGGCAGCAACAATCTGTGCCAAACTAGTGCTGTAACCATGTTCTGCTCTGATGGTTGGGAAGATAAGGCCAGGGCATGCAAATAGATTGCAGTCAGTGAGCTGTGTTCAACCTGGACAGGGCTTTCTGCAGAGACTTGCCCAGGCCATAAATTCTGCCAACAGACACCTAAAGTCATTTCTTTCAGCAGAGCATTTACTGTGATCAAATGACAAGTTAACTGTGCTGTATTTTTAGCTTGGAGTGGGAGGAAAATACTGAAGAAACAGCTCCTACCCCTAGCTGATAGCAGGGGTCTCTAAATACATTCCTCAGACACACCACGCTGCAGAGATCCCTGGCTCAGTGGCAACCAAGCAAGCTCCAGAATGAGCCATGCCACAGCACCAGGCATAAAGCTAATAAGCCCCATGTCTCTGGACCATGTGAGAGTCTGGCTGCTCTTGGAATCCAGGCTGGTATGTCCCACAATAGTTCATTGCATGCTGGACATACCAGTTTAGAGCTGTCCTTGGCAATCCTGTGTCACTGCATAGTCAGGAGTGGCCCTTGGGTATCGATGTCAAGGCCAGAGTTCTGCTTTCCAGCCACTCTCTTAAAGGAGGAAGTGACCAAGCCTGTACACGCTGGCAGAGTATGCAAGCACCTTACAAATATTGTACAAACAGAGCAGTGGTATTTCCTCCTTCTTCCAGGTCTATGGGTTGAAACAAAGCACTAGAACAAGTAAAGAGCCAGTTTCCCTCCAAGCTCTGCTACATTCTCTGTCTCTAACCTTTGCCAAGTCACTGCACTGGGCTTTGTTTCTCCACCCCTCCTGGTGACGTGGGGTCATTCACTCAGGTTTGTAGAGTCCCCTGAGTTCTTAACAAGAAGGACAAAGTATTATTAGAGCATTAATAAGACAAGTGCTTTCAGCTAAGCAGGACATTATAGCAGCACACACTCCATAACTGCATCCCTGAACACACAGCCTTGGACAATGACACCAGTGGGAATCACCCACCGTGGCATTAGCTATTTCCCTCCAAAGGATTATGAAGAAAAGCTGCCACTGGGGGCAAAGACAAAATGATCCAAGTGGAAATTCATATATTGCCAGGAGAAGTCTGTCCTGCCCTCAGTTACACTGCTGTAAACCCAAAGTTATTCTCCTAAAATGTCCTTGCCCCTGTTTTCTGCTGTGCCTAAGCTGTTAGTCATTAATATGCATTCTGTAAGCTCAAAACAGTCTGTGCTCCTGGCTTTACTTGTACACTGTAAATATGTATTTATACTTATTCTAATGTATATTTTTATTGCACTATAGCAGACAGTGACAACATGTACAGGCCTGCTGGGATTTATCTGATAAATCTGTTCCCTCTTGGTAACTGGGCTAACAGTGTATTTCATGCTCAAAACAGCCATTTCAACAACAGCTCCTACTTGGCTCTGGAGGTGCAGGTAGTGGGGATGGGGTGGAAAAGGAGAAGGAAAGGAGTACAGCATTGCTGTGCATGGTTTGAGTGAAAATAAAGATGGAAATTCACATGCAGAACAGGGCTGCCATCAGGGAGACATTCATCCTCAGAGATGGATTAGTGCAGAACTCCACACAGGCAGGAGTCAGCTCTCCAGGGCAGGAGATAACATGGGAATGTGTGCCCAGCAGTCACTGTCATCAAAACCCCTGTTAAAACTCTGCTGTCCTTTCCTGAGTCATGCCAGAACCTGGCCAGGGCAGGGATTCCAGGGAAGGTGTCTAACCTGTGAGGGAGCTGGTTCCCTGGTTCTGGCTGTGACACAGGCACACACATCCATGTGAATACTCCCACACATGTGCACAGGCAAAAGCCTTGCCCAAGGTAAAATCATTTCAGCTTAGTAAAACTACCAGAAATGCAAACTGTGTTTGTTATTCCCCTTGTCCTCCACAAATCCACAGACAGAAATATTTAAAGAGCATGTCAGCATCTGAACTGCTCAGGAATGAAAATCTTCCAGCCCCAAACCTCATGGACACACCAGCACGGAATTCCCTGTCTGTGTCCCTGGGAACAAGAAGTGTCTGACTCATGTAAAGCTCCCCAGTTCTGGCCATTCTGGAGGCAAGTGCTGGCACACACCAAGTGTCAGTGTGGCAAGATTGCCCGTAAAACTACTCATAAAACCAAACCAGAGAGCTGGTTCTGCTGAGTCTGCTGAAGAAGAGCTGCTGTATCCATTAGATTTCCATTCCTAGCTTTGATTTCCATGGCACAGAGGAGGTATAACCTTCAACAGGCAGCTGGGATCTTGCATCCTATGTGCTTCTCAGCCTGCCTCTCCCTCCTAACAAAGCACAGATCACCCCAGTCCTGTCTTATTTCCCCAGGACTCCAGGGCAGGAAGATGCTTTCACTATTATTGTGGTTACTGGGCCCAGACATTCCTGAAGAGCAGCTACACTGGAGGAATCAGTGTCAGCCTTAGCCCTGAATTTGTGAGGAGCTGGTGAGCACATCCCAGGAGATGCAAGGGCTACAAGGATGGATGGATGGGCAGAGAGCAGAGGAGCACACTGGGAGGCTGTAGGCACTGTGCTGGTGCAGAGCTGTGCTCAGGAAAACACATCTGTGGCCAGAGCAGTACAGGGAATCAAGTCTGACCCACTCCCACAGGCACTGGGACATATCTCCAGACACACAGGCTGTGGATAGAGGCCAACTGGCAAAGGTGCCAGAGAGACAGTACAGCCAGAGTCAGGAGGCGACCTGAGAAGGGAGGAGAAGGAGAGGGAATTAACTTGCAATGTTTTCCACTAAGAAACTAGAGTTTCTTCCTCTTGGGTGACACTTTCAGACCACTAGATAATGCTGCCTGAGCCCTGACCTTCCTTTTGGGCTATGGTGCCAGCAGCCCAAAGGAAAAACAAGGCAGAGCTCCACAGCCTCTTGGTCATTGCAATCCCTGACCAGGGAGATCTGTGTCCTGAGGAGGAGGATGGAGGGACTCAGCTTGGCTCCAATAGCAGCACTCTGCATGGTTTCCCAGGCTTTCAGCTGCATCCTCTGAAGCTCTGGAAAGCCAGTGAAGAGCAAGATCTGGCATTACCCAAATCTTGCCACACCAGGCTGGGGTAGAGCCTTCCATTCCCAACACAGCACTAGCCACGGCAGATAAGGAGCTGCCCTGATCCTTGGAGCCACTGAATTCACACAAAAGGTACCCAAGGATGCTCAGCACTTGTCAGGATCAGGCCATGGCTGTCACCATCTCCAAACACACCTGGCCTTGCTCTCCAAACATGCAAATCCTCCTCAGTTCTGACCACTCTGAAAACAACTCCTTAAAGGTCCCACCATCTCCCCTGGCATCAAAAACATTCTGGTCAGTCAATCAAGGAAACAGATAACAAAAAGCAAAATCTCAACTAATCTTTGTGGCTGAAGAAAGAGCTGATTGTTTTTGCCTCTCTCCAAGCCCGCCCTGTACCCTGCACTTCCCCAGTCCTCTTCACACCTTCTTCCCTTTGTTGCTGGGGAGAGAAAATCCTGGTGTTCGGGCTATTTTGTTTAGCAAATGAGGGACATGCAAAGCAATAACCTCAGGCATCTGCCAGGAGGAGAGAGGTGCCTCTGTGTCTTCCAGACAGCCTTCAGGTGCCAAGAGCAACAGCCCAGAAGAATTAATATCAAGGGTGGATTTAAGTTTGGACACAGGATGAATCTTTCTCTTCCTAATGAGACAGAGCCATGGGACACCTGCAGGAAGCAGAAGTGTGTTCCCAACTAGCACAGCATTAGGCTGGAGCTTATCTTCAGGTTGTATTAACCTCACAGAGTGGAATCCTGGAGAAGGCAAAACCCTGA